TGGTTTAGTGAGCAGAGCGCAGCCGGCCTGAAACGTGATGCTGGCTGTCTGATCATGAATTATCACAGAGCTGTAATCATCTTTTATCCGGCCAACCCACCTCACATACTCTCTGTCTGCTTCAGTGTTTGAGTCTGTCACTCCACACACACACACACGTGAACTTGCACTTTTTACCTTGATGTTATATCAGTCTCTTAGCAATCTCATTATCAAGCCTCCCATCTGTCCCCCACCACCTCCTAACTCCTGTTTTATCTCTAAGACACCACTATTGGGGAAGCTATTTTGAAAGCATAGCTTTTAAAGATACTGAGATATAAAGATATTTCACACTGGAAGAAGTTGAACTACAGCAAAGCTATCCTAGGGAGAAATGTAGCTTAGCTAATTAAAGCCACTTAGAAAAAGTAGTTCAAACTACTTTGTAAAAAATGATCAAATTAGTGTATATCTAATAACTAACTAGAATTATTGCTTCACAGTGGTATGCCTCCGCCAACCAGTCATATTCATGGGAATTGGATAGATGTAAGGTCACTGACTTTGACCTCTGACCACCAAATTCTAATCAGTTCTTCCTTGAGTCCAAGTGGATGCTTATGCTAAATTTGAAGACATTTCCTCAAGGTGTTTTTGAGATATCACGTTCACAAGAATGAACAACCATAAAAACAAAATGCCTCCAGTCATGGCTACTGCCAACACAGGGGCATGAAAACTACTTACAGTAGTATTCTTTTGAAAGGATCCTTACTTGTACTTGCCAGTACAAGTATTACCTTGTAGTCCAAGCCTGATATATATAGTAGATTATTATTCTCAGTTTTTATAAACCATTGTTGTTCAAAAAAACAATTAAAACACAATTAAGTCACTCCCAAATACAAAAGTCAATAAGGTGAAAACAGTCCTCAGCAAATAAACTATTTATGCCTGTTAGAATAACATTTACTCAAAAGTACCCAGCAGTTTTAGGAACTCATCTAACCTTTTAAAATTACAACAAGCTTGACCTTTGACCTACAAATTGTAATAAGCTGATCCATAGGTCCAAGTGGACACTCGTGCCAAGGTGTTACTGACCTGTCGTGTTCACAAGAAGATTCTACCAATGCCTCTGGCTGTGACTATCACTGGCACAGAGGCATACAGATAATTCCTTTCCTTGATTGGCCTAAAATTGTTTGTAGTTTCAGTAGTTAAAAACACAAATGTAATTGAGATACTTGAATATCTATGCAAATATGAATGTAGTTGAACTACCAGAAAGCTACTGCAAAATGTAGTTAAACTGCTAGTTTAATTGCATGTAGCTCATTACTCCCCAGTACTGGAGAACATCACACACACACACACACTGGAGTCAAAATCCTGTTTACCTCTGCTGTGTCTCTGCAGATGAATCTTACAAGTCAGTGGACTTGGTGTCAGGGTGAATGTGGAGCAGAGGGTGAAGAGAAGACAGAGGCAGACTGAAATAGAGGAGAGGACTAGACTGTGTGGTGGCTCTGAATTTACAATTACCCACAAATCCACTTGGCTTAAATTCTTTATTAGGCTGGTGAAGAGATGATGCATTGTTACCCAATAAAGAGTAGTGCTGTTTCAGATTATTGAAAAGTGAGTGCAAATTGTACTCTCGTTGAACTCCAAAGTAAGATGCAAATGAGGACATGAATTTTCTGGACAATACTGGACAGCAGAATACTGGACAACCCTGTAACCCCACCTTGGGTTTTATTATGCCTCTGCCCTTGCATATACAAACCTTGGGGGATTATAATTATCCCCCAAAGTTTGTATATAGGAGGGATTAAAATTTGAAGGACAGATTTACGAAGGGCAGAGGTTCGATCAGGGTTTTTATTCCAGGGTGTTGTCCCTGTAGAAAGCTAGTCTGCACTACACCATTTGCTTGTGCCAATATCAGTAAGATATACAGTGTTAGGTCATGTGTAACCTGTAACTCCTGCAATGTTATTTACTTTCTGTCTTGTCCTTATAAATGATTTATGTTGGCTAAACAACAAGATTGAGAATCTGATACAGTGAACACAGGCACTTCCACTTAAGAGGAACAATGTCAATTCACCAGTATCATGGCATTTAATGGAAAACAACCCACACAGAAAAAGATCTAAGTTGCATTGGTACTGGTACTATAGAACCAAGAAGTCGGGGAGGTGTTATGAATAATGGATTGTTAAAACCAGAGGCAAAATGGATTTGTAGCCTCAATAGTCTGTCCCCAAATGGCCTGAATGAAGAACTGGTTCTCACACTGTTTTTATAAAGACCTCCAGTTCTTCTGAACTGTGGATGGTGGTTTGTTAACTTGATGTTTATAGTTCACATGTTGGGGATCTTTGAACCAAATTGATTTAACCTATGTATATTTGTATAGTATGTAGTAAGTCATGTCATATGATTAAATATATACTGTAAATTATAGAAATCAAGTTTGAATTTCACATTTTTCTAGGGGTTTTTGAATATTTAGGATAGTATACAAACTGGTGTACAGGTGTAAAAATATGACCCCTGGTAATAAACAGTAGTTATCTTGTATACACATGTATTGTGTGTATGTTTCCTGTTTGCAGTGAAGTGCTGTACTGAGTGCTTCCTTTCTACAGTGACATGAGGCAGCACTAATCAGTGTTAGTAGTTTCTCCTGTACTGATCACACTGGGTGGGTAGACGTGTCTGAGCTGTGGTGGAAGTTGACTACACTGAAGAAAGAAGCTATGCCCAAATGTCTGTGTTCTCCATCAGCCATGTCATTTTTTTGAGCTAAAGAATAAAACTTAATGTTGAGGCATCTTTCAGAGTGCAAAGGCCATTTTTGAATTCAAGCTCACAGTTCCAGTCTTATACTTTACCCCCTTGATAAAACACCTACAGCGGAGACTCTGCTGGTCTTATTAAAGAGAGGGCGTTTAACTGTGCTCTGTAGGAGTGTGTCATCCTCACTGCATCTGTACACTTCACTGCAATTTCTGAGGCAAACAGAAAGAACAGAGGGCTATGGCTGCTTTTCTCATCCAGAGAATGGTTCTGGTTTTTGCTTAGTGACTTTGAGAGTAAACTACACTCACAGCTCTACGCTGTCAGTGTTGTGAAGAGATGTTCTTTGCTATTTTCACTGCTGATGTATAATAATGTGCCCGGAGAGAGTGATAGATGACCTCTGGATTGTATGATTGTGTTTGGAGACCAGAGGAATGAATTTACACTCCAGTCATTCTGCTGTCATTTGACCACTGTGCTGTTATCTCATTGTCACTGCTATCAGATGAGTATTATTGGCAATAACACACTGCCAGTCTTATCTTGCAGAACGAACCATGAACTTGAACACTGACTTTTTCTACTCTCCTTCAGTTTTTAAGCATCGCTCTGTCTTCATTTCTGTTTTCCTCATTACAGACTTACTATGATGTCATCCCTCCCTCTCCTCCTCCAGCTCACCTCGCTTGCTTTGTCTCTTATCCCTTTGTTTTATCTCCCAACCTTTTCTCTCTTTCTTCATCACTCTCATAACACACTTTCAAATGATAAACACTTGGATGGTAACTTCTTTTACCATAATTGAGTTTAGTTCTTTAGGGTTTCATCATTCACATTCCACCCCCACTGTGTGCTTTCATTTCTTTGTAAACTTTGTCTGCCCACAGTCATGGGTATGATTATGACCTAAAATAAAACTTCCTCCCTCATGGCAGTAATTTTCCATGAAACAAAGCAGCCTGAATTGTATTCTTGAGTACTTAAAGTGAATGGATCCTCTTTCTCCATCAAGGACTTAATTATGCATTCCTCCTGAGAGTTGGTTAAGGGAGATGCCCATATGATGTTTTCCTGGTATTAGATGGACATCATGATGTTGTGTAAGTTTTCAAAAGGAGTTTTATGATACAAGACATTTTTCAGGGGCATAATTTCTCAAGAGCTGTTGTTGTGGCTCTGGGAATAGCAGTGGCAGTCAGTCAGTCCACCACTTGGATCCAGACGGAATTGTCTTAACAGCTACTGGATGGATTGCCACAAAAATATGTGCACACAATTATGGTCTACAGAGCATGGAGCCCTGCAACACCCTTATCAAAATTAAAATTTGCTCCATATAGGACCAAGGATGAGAAATAAACAGTCCACAAAACAAACATTCAGGTTGCTTGCCTGGCACATGTGCAGTCAGCATGGGCAGTCAAGGCAGCTGCACAAAGAGTCTGCATGGGTGCTCACACATGACAAAATTTATGTCACGTGGACTCCCGAGAAACCATGTGGACATCCAGCTGCGAAAAGCATGACTTGGCTTTTACAGAGTTGCTAGTGTGGCTGTAGATTCTTAATGTTGTTGCAGTTGCTGCTGAGACACCTCATTCCTTCCCATTTACTAACTTCTACCAGCATTAATGCTAATCTATGCTGACCCAGTTTCCTGAACAAAATCATGCACATGTACACTGTCATGACCTGGTGATTGTTGTTTTGTGTGCGTGTGTTAAATGTTTGTGTTTTTGTTTGTTGCATGTGAGTGGGTGAGAAATAAAGCCACTGTTTCACAGGAGCGTAGACACACACATACACAGAGATAATCGTGCCTTTCTATAGTTGTGAGCACACACATTGACATAATTCATTCTGTAACTCCAACTATTATGCTAACTCCTAACTTAAACCTAATTCTATCCTGAACCCCAAACCTAAGCTTTGACCCTCAAAAAGCCCTCGAAGCTGTAAGAACAGGGTACAGTGTCTTCACAACGATGCCATCGAACAAGAATTTATCCACACAATAAAGATGTGTAGACACACACACATACGCTGCCTATGAGCAGAACACCAATGGGGAATGGTGCTCTCTGTGGTTGTCATGGAAATGACAGATGTGATAGATGGAGGGAGCACTTGTGAAGAGTATTATGGGGTGTTATGTGACAAATAGAGCATCACCTAATCTTCTGTCTGTTTACTGTTTGTTTTCACAGACATATCTCCTGGGAATCATCATCGCCATATGTGGCAATGTCCTCATCAGCATTTCACTCAACATACAGGTAGGAATCCAGCTGTACAGCAGACACTCAGCACATAGCGGGCACAGCATGCCTGTAAAGGCTCATTTTCCCCCTCCCTACTGGTTGACTGTTGTTCTGACAGTTTTCTCTCAGCAAACTATACGTGATCATTAGACTTGTAGGCACTTAGCCACTGACTGTGTGATCTGCGGGCATGTTCAGAGCAGGCCTTGCACAGCAGACAACAGAAATGTGTCGTTCTAATAAAGCTTATTTGAATTCAAATTAATTTAATGAATTAATTTAAACTTTAGAAATATATTTCAGTTTAAACCTGTGATTAACATTACAATTACATTTACACAACACTTTAAAATTATGAAAGTACAAAGGTTTTGCACTTTGTGTCTGGACCTGATTATAAAACCATTTATGCTCTAACAATGTGTCTTGTCAGCAGTATTTCTGAAGTGACACACATTGTTTTTGAGCTGCATGCAGTTAAATGATCAATCCAAAGGGAGAGGCTTCACATACAGTACTATGGTTTAGAAATACTGGCTGTCTACAATGATTCTTTGTTTTGCTAAAATTTAGCTTTGGCTAAATGTAAAGAAGTGCTGGTCAAGGCTGACAACCATTGTTTATTAAACAGTGTAAGCTTGCAGAGATAGTTAGTGATGATTGTGAAGTAAACACCTGCATTGCTTTGTCCAAATTCCCGCCTTATTCATTTGCTTAATGGTGTCATGCCTTTTCTGAGATGAAATGCTAGTCAGCAGAGAGTGTTGTAGTTTTTTTTAGAGCTGTGCAGCAGCCAATGTAAAACTGCATCATTGCACTTTATTTTCCAAGCATTATGTAACTGTACTGTATACGTTAATAATAATTTATGTATGGCGTACATGTCAGCTTGTCTCGTTCACCTCTCTGGTTATTGGATCCACTTAATCTGAGTGATGCCTCTGGCTCCTGTTCCCTCACTCTCTGACAGAAATACGCCCATGTCCGTCAGTCTCAGCGTGGCTCCAAGCCTTACTACACCTCTGTGTTGTGGTGGTGCGGTGTGGTTCTCATGGGCATTGGGGAACTGGGGAATTTTGCTGCCTACGGTTTTGCCCCAGCATCGCTCATAGCCCCACTGGGTTGTGTGTCTGTCATAGGTGAGTGCAACCTTTTCCCCCTCATACATTATACATGCATGAAGGCAGAAGGAAAGGTTATTTCCTTTGGGACCAACAAGCAGTGTTGTCGTGTGAGTTGTGTTCTGTTTCCTCTGATCCAGTCATTAATAGTACTCTTCATACCAAGTGCCTATTTTATCTTACTGAAAAATTCACAGGTTTTACTTTTGAGTGTGATAACAACTCATTCAAATGTAATATCTGTAAAGAATGGGGGCCACACATTATACATAGTGTTTGCAAAATTTCCAAATAATGTCTCAGGAAATAACAGTAACTTAAGTTTATCAGATTTGATTACTCCGCAAAACAACAGAGGGATTGTTGCCGTTTCAAGCTTCCTTTTTAGCTTTAAAACTATCATCAGAAGTACATGCACGTGCCAGGATTTGTTCAGCTTTTCAACAGTCTGAATGTAATTTTTGTCATGATCTTTTTTATAATCTTTATTGGGAACACATTCCATAACAATGCCATACAAATACTTCACCTACAATTAGCTTGAATGTGATCAGGGTGTTCCTGTAAAAGACAGGTAGGCTCTCAATCAACTTCCCTGAATAACTAAAGATTTTAAACATTTTCATGTAAAAGAGAGAGAAAACCAAAGGAAGGATCTAACCAAGCAGGTTAGGTTTATAGCATTACAAAATACTTCATTTTTCATATGCAGTATTACACCTGAGGTATTTAAAAGTTATTTTTGTAGGTTGCATTAAATGTCCTGTCAGTAATGTTGATTGCACAGGAAAACAAACTGAATTAAACTGAATTGTTCTTCAGACTCTGTGTTTCAACACATTCAGTTTGAAATACAGTAATGGAAACTACATTAAAGCGCTAAGTGTCAGCTTTAATTGAAGTGCTGTGTGTGAGATAACTCTTTCAACACATAATGCCCAAAATGCGAGAGTTCAAAAGTAATTAGATGCTTGACTACTACATGTTTCATGTGCAGCTTTGCAGCATATCAACAAAAGAGCTCACACATGACTCAGAGCTGACTGAGAGTTTAGAGGTGCAAAAAGCAAAGACATTATAAAAATGATGGAAAGAGAAGTGTGGAGCAGGCCATGACCTAGAGTGCCACTTCATCTGTCAAACATGGTGGTGGTTCTGTTATGGCTAGAGTCTGCATGGCTGCCAGTGCAACTGACAAAACATCCAAAGAGCTTTTCAGGGTGAAGAGATGGAAAATCCACAACTGGCAGGTTGAGTCACCAGATCTCAATTCCAGGGCATGTGTTGATGTTCTTTTTCTGTGATGTCAGTTGATGTAATGAATAATCAGCTGACACGACACACCTGGTATTTATTATTGGTTGTTTGCTGACATGTCTAGCTGCTCCTGATTAAAGTCAAATTGATTTTGCTTGAAACGACAATAAAGCCTCTGTTCTTTTTTGGTGATACTCTAGTCTTTTAAGTTTTTAAAATAAGCGCATCTCCGGGTTTATAGATATGTACAAATGTTTTTTAAAATTTTTCATTTATTAATGAAGTTCTGTTAGTAGTGCTGTTTTCTTTCTGTGTATCACAAATACAGATCTGCCTGCACCGGCGAGGCTGGCACATCTCTCCCAGAAATGTGCTTTCTGTCCAGTCTTCCAATTTCTAATTTATTTCCAGCACTTAGACCCAAAGAAATGAATATGTAAACTTCCACTTTCCAAGTGTTATAGTTGATTCAGGACGTCCAGTCACTTTGGACATCATAAATTTAACAGCCCACTCCAGATATGACTATTTTCATGACCCACAGTGTGAACTAAAGCTGTCATAAACCAGGCTGGATTCATTAGCCAATCAAAACACAGCCTGTGTGGTCGCTACAATTGGCAGTTGCTAAGTGCAAACCCTCCAAATGTAGGTTATCGAACAGGTTCGCTTCTTAACTCCTGCCACCCGTTACTCACTGCACTGCACTGGTGGCGAGTCATGGATATTTATGACGGCTATTACCCAGAGGCGTCAAATGATTTTCATATAGTCACGTCTCGCAAGTGGATGAATGGTTTAAATAAAGTACTGAATCAAACCACTAATCTTGTTTAAAAGGCTGCACCTCTTGGTCATTGTATTTTTGCATGGTGTTGTACTTGCTTATGAGCAATTATGTTCTAAAATGCTTTTACCACAATAGCAGGACTTCAGCACTCTGTTGTACTGCAAGCAGTAACCTCTTGTTGCTGTTTCAGGGTGTGTAAAGGGACATTCTGTTTAAAACCACCTGTATTAACAATTATTGTGCTCATTTGCATTTAGTTCTCATTATTTTCCTTATAAAAATTGCTAGAGACTTTTGTTGCATTGGAGTGTGCAGGAATAATATGCGGTTGAAGGGGAGTCTTGAAGAATTAATGAAGCCAAAGTTGAAGAGGTGAAAGGAAGGTAAAGGAGAGTAAGACGTCTGTAGCTGTGACATGTCCTGTCCTTCTCACAGCTAACAAGTGGAGCTGAGGAGAAAATGTGCAGGTTACTGTCTGTCAGCATGACTCCACAAATGAGAAAATGCACACTTATACACACAAATGCCATAACCATAGTTGTGTGTAAAAACACCCAGGTCCAGCAGATTATGTTAATCAGAGATGTGCCATAGGCTAAGACACACATACCTCCTGCAGCACTGTTGTGTCCGTGTTCCAAGAGCTGTGTGTAGGCTCACGGGGGGGGCGGCAGACAGCAGAAGGCCGTGGGTGAATAAACAAGAGGGAGACAAGTAGTTGGGCAGCTAGAGATGGATAAATATGAGGTTGAATGCTGAGGGGAAGAGCCCTTTTTGTGAGAGTAGGGAAATAAAAAACATGAATGAAATAAGACTACATAGAGAGAGAGAGAGAGGGTGGAAAGCAAAAGCAGAGAAGAAAAGGAATAGGATCTGGAGGGCTGATGGTGCTGCTGTCATCCACCTGTCCCTGCGTGTCACACTGGCACTCTGAGCCTCCATGGAGAGCAATTACCACTGTCCCCGTCCACAGGGCCCACTGGTCTACATTAAGAATGAAAGCATCATCCCAAACGCTGTAGTATGGAGCAGAGCACAGCTCTCCCTGCTAGATGCAGTGTCATCACATGCAAAAGAGGAGGGAGACTGGTGTGGTGCAAATAAACAGAAATATGATTCACCCACTGCATCAGCATCATTTGCAGATGTCAGACCTGCAGCACTGTGCCACTGACTGCAAGACGTGTTGTTTAGCACAGTGTGAAGAGGTCAATGCTTGTGTGTTTCCAATAGATCTTTGGTTTTTACAGAAGTGTGAGCCACTTCCAGCTGACATAGGATCCAGGACTTTCTCGCTGTGAGGTGACAGTGCTAACCACTGCTCTGAAGTGGTTTTTTGTCATTTGTGATATTGTGGACATACGGTATGAACAATGTGTTAACGTTTCCTACATTTTAGCTTCTATGGGAGATGACAGTCATTCATTGTTTCATTTCAGATCTGTGTGGTGAAATGATGTTTGACATGGTGTGTTTTCCCACAGGCAGGTTCTCTTAATACACATGTGAGATGGAACATGAAGAGGGCCACCCTGATTTGAGAGGCACACAATCCCATAAAAATGCACGGGCAGTGATGGAACTGGGTACCCCAGAGGTTTCTGTTGCCGCATTTTTCATTTTACCAAGTCGTGTGAATCTCACTTTTTATGGAGTTGCTATGGTTACTTGTTGGATCCAGCTGGTCCCAGAGGCAAAGAAGAGGCAAAGAGTCCTAAATGTGTATACCAACATGTTCACAGTATGAAATATTTAACAACCAACTGTTTCATCAGAATACCATCAAGAGTCTTTAGAAATTTCCAGGTTGACAGTAATGTCCCTGCAGCATCAAGCACATCTGCGCCTTGCTTCATGTGTTCTGTGAGACACCCTATTAGCATCATGTTGTTTATAGTTGCAGCCATTGTTGGAGTCCTAGTTGTTTATAGAAAGACTTTTCATGGCTTCTACTGCTGCTGTGCTGCACAGTCACTGTGTAGTATCCTGAGAACGTGTCTGTCATGCCACCACACCATCCTAATCCCACATCAGACACACTGTCTGCCACATATTGAGTTGTTGAGTCTGTAGCTAATCTCATTATGATAGTGGCAGAGCTCATACACAAACTCAAACTGGCTGTCTATCTGTTTTTTCCAATGCTTTTCAGTAATTTTTCAATTCAATTAGTCTGTCTCTGAGTGCTGTCACTTGCATGTCTGGCTGGCTGGCAGTGGCTCGTTGCATTTGAGTCCAGAATTTCCCAGCAAACACATCTGCTACAGCTGGCCGTGCTGAATCATTCATGAGAATGTATAACAACAGAACCTAGTAAAATTAGCTACTGAGTAGTTGGCATGTGTTGAGGACCTCTGGCACAGTCAGTTCAGTGTTTTATATAAACTAACCTCTGCGTGTGACAGGCTGCTGTCACTGGCGTATCCGTTTGCCTCCCTGTCAGTCTGTCCACCGCCTGCTTGTCTTCTAATTTGTTTTATCTGTCTCAGGCAGTTAGTCCGGCTGTGTGGCCATCCATCTATGTATCTCCGTGTTGATGGGCATGTCTGTGTGTTAGCATGCATATCTGCCTGTGATGCTATCAGTCTCTGTGGCAGCCAAATGCTGTACAGTTTTTCATCTCTCTCGATTCAGTATATATCCCAGGGAAACATTAAGAAGACTGATCTGAGGCTTAGGTTGTGTAAAACTGACGATGAATGGGTTCATGAAAAATTATGACCTGGAGTAGCATCTTGCTGTAATTTGATGTGTTAAGAAGTCCTAATGACTTCCATTTATCTATGCATGCTGGCAGAGATTATCATCCTGACCAGTTTAAACATGCCATGCACTGTGTGTGTGTGTGTGTGTGTGTGTGTGTGTGTGTGTGTGTGTGTGTGTGTGTGTGTGTATCAGGTGTGAATGTACTTATTTATGTGGGCACAATATAGGGATTTATAGTATTACTGTGTACATGTGAATGACTAAATGCATGTGTGTATGTGTAACTGCATATATGACAAATTACAGTAATATTCAAACACTGCATGCTGCCTGATGAAATCGGATTACTCCTCATCCAGTTACAGTATGTATGTGTACAGGCAGCAGTGAGGTCTGTTTTCTTGTGATTAAAATGATTTGATGCATCAGAAACTATATCAGTCCAGAATATGAGGTTACCAAAAATGTCTGGGCACCAAGTATGTTTTTATTCTGTGGATTGATTGTGTTGTTGTGATAAAGAGAGAGGAAGTTGTTTTCATGCTATAATTCAAATGATATTGTGTCTAGACTGTGTTAAATGCACAGTAACTGACTGCCTCACAGTATTGTACAAATATACAGTGTAGGGTAACTGTTCTAGAGTGGTGAAGATATCCTGCTAGACTGCAGCATGTTGTGATTGGCAGCTACACTCACAGGGATTTATTTTCATTTCCCAGCCAGTGCTGTCATATCTGTGGTTTTCCTCAAGGAGACGGTGTGGGCCTCTGACATTGTTGGTAAGCAAACACTCATACCACAGCACTTGAGGACATAAAGTATCCTCTCAGATTGCTGCTTAGATTTGAGAAGTAACATCGTCAGTTTAGTTTTATCAAACTAACCTCACAGATGATCTGCGTGGGGAAAAACCCCTGTAAATGAAACACATTTCAGTTTGCTGAAATCAAATTCAAATCTATGGAAAAGCTGCTGTTCTTCCTAACAATTTGTTTGTCTGCTACTAAATGGCTTGATTGTAATGGTTGTCACAGTGATGATCATTACAACTGCTAGACTGAAAATCATATCAGCACCACACAGCTCTGCATGTTGTTGGCTTCCTGGATAAATCATCGGCAATATTTGTTAGTTTTTATATTATTTTGTAATTTCTGGGTGACATTATCAGCTACATATTGTAAACCGTTTATTGTATGAATGTTTCATTTATAACGACTGAGAGCAAACTCTCTGTAGTACCCTGTTTGCCGAGGTTATACAAACCAACAATAAGATTAAGATGTTAAAACAATTATCATGGAAGCAACAAAACATTTTATATCAGAATTTCTAAACAAACACTGTACGAGTCAGAATCCATTTAGAGCTGTAGGAGGCTTTTAAGATCTGTAGGTAGGTCACCCGTGTTCCGAATAAAACGCCCACAGGATGTCTGGTAATTTTAATGCCACTCTACTACAGGGGGTATATTGGTTTAGGGAATATGGCTGATGACATTTCTATAGCCAGAACTGGCAGAAATGGAGATTGGATCAGTAGTTTGACCTTATTCACTGAAACATGTTCTATTTCTAAACACAAGTTTGAGTTTAATGATTCTTTCTCAATTCATTAATGTGAAAAATAGCCTGATATTTTAAAGAATTTTAAATCTTTCAGTGACTAAAAAGGTTATCATTTATACTGTAAGATTCTGAGAAAAACAAATGTTCATTTCAAACCAGTTTTGATCTTTAATTAGTATGTGTACATTGAAACTATACAGCCATAGCTATGCATATTTAAAGGACAGAAATGGTTGCACGGCAAGAAAGAATTTGCAAATATGCAGTGGCAAATTAATTCACTTTACTCACCTTCTTTACAAACAGCTATATATTTGCTGTTAAGAACTGGAAAATAGTGCCCATTAAAATCATGTGAAGCCAGTTCTGCAGTCACATATGAGGGAGAAACAGGATGGTCATGTTTACCTGAGTGTTAGCTTGTCATTTGTCATTAGAATCTCACAGCTCTCTGCTCTGTTTCTTCCATAGGTGGCAGCCTGGCAATAACAGGAACCTATCTCCTGGTGACCTTTGCCCCCCACAATACCACACACATCACAGCCCAACTGGTCCAGTACTATGCCATCAGCTGGCACTTCCTTCTTTATCTTGTATGCCATTATTTAAAACTTTCCTGCCTGGGTCCAGTAATAATAATACAGTATTATAGTATGTGTAAACATGTTCTTATATCCTTGGAGCCACTGTCCCAATGGGTTGGTGTATGTCACGCTGATGGCAGCACACCACTGACATGTCCTGAAACTTGTCACTTCTTGTCCTAGGGGTATTACAGAAAACGGGTTTAGTGAAAGCTATGAATTGAGGAAAACTCTGGGTTTTCAGTTTGAGAAACAGAGATTGGTTGCACTCTGAGACAGTTACCGTGGTAACTTACTCTGTGAATCTGGCCTGTTTATTGGCAGGCATTCTTCAATAAACCCTGACTTTCTCTATGTCTCCTCCTTCCTACAGAGTCTGAAGAAGCTGTGACAGGTCGCTTTATTTCCTCATTCATACAGTCCGTATCAGCGCGAAGATAGGAGCGTGTTAACTTTATGACATTTTTTGGGAGAAGAGGATACAAGTCCTGTTACAATAGTAGTGTAGCCTGATTTACCCAGGACCTATCACTAACATGATCACTTTTGGGATCATCAAGTCAGCGGTCTCTCTTCACAGAATAAAATCTATATGCTGCCCATCTGTCACACTGTGACTCTGTGGACGTGAATACAAATGTTACATTGTCAATCAGTTGCCCCGCACTGAAACATCTACTGTACATTACTGTGTATGAAGGCCACGATATACTAAGCCCTGGACATAGGAATAGAGCTTAAGACCATATTTGCTTTGCACAGTATTTAATTGACATAAGATGTTATTAAGCATAGGAAATTCAAACAGCAGGATATTTTGTATAAAATATTTCCTGATGTAACTGTCTAAAAATAAACCTCCCCTCTCAGCAGCCAGCCGGTTTGTATGGCATACACCCGAGCAACAAGCCCAGTCAGAGAAGTACTGCTTTCCGTTGTCGCCGTTAGGTTTCCCACAGCCAGGCAGCGTGTTATCACTGCTAGGTTGCTACTGCCTGGTTTAGCTCTCTGAGACACTGTTGAGAAGGTTGGCATACTGTTAATACTGTTGATTGTTGAACAATATGATTAAACTTATCAAGCTGTGTTCTGAGATAGGGCATTTGAATTATAATGTGTGTAATATAATGAGTAAACAATTGACTAGTTTATTTAGATTGGTTTTAAATGACTGTCTTAACATTTTGTCAATATTTCATCACTGATTCCCTTTTCAGGACGCTGCATTTAAACTAGTTATATTATAGTCTTAAACAGTCTTGAACATTACCACTTAAAAGTGTAAACTCACTAAAATCATAAGAATTAATAATATCAGAACTTGACTCAATAAAAACAGAGTATTTAACCTTTTCAGGAATTTTATATAGAAGCTTAAAAGAATTACAGCAAAGCAGCAAGCAATAAAATATAAACCTTAAAACCAATTGTCTGGATTGGCTTACAATCTAAATAAACCAATAACTACTATTTCTAAACATAAATCTAAAATGATCATACTGATTAAAACTATTATGGTTGAGCTCTCAAGACACTGAATAAAAGTCAAAGGGTTTCTCACGGAATCCTTTTCTCAGCTGGCTCGAGGTGGGGTGGTGGCAGGTTGAGCAATCGTTTGTTCCTCCTTTTCCTTTAGGCCAGGATTCAAGCTTTCAAAAGAAAAAAAAAGAATAAATAGAGAAATCAAAACTCATCAGAAAAACCTCATTCTCTTCTGGTTCAATTTTCAAAACTCTCCAAGAGAAAAATAGGAAAAAATCTGAAAAACAATGTTCGTCTTAGTCAAATCTACTGTAACTCAGGAAAACATAAAGGTCTAAAAACAAGTCTTCTTTTGGTCCAAATCTTCTTTCTTCTGAGAAACACAGAAACAATCAAAAGAACAACGTTGATCCTCTTCTGTTCCACTCCTCTTTCTTCAAACAGGGATGATAAGAGTATCAGGAAATCTTCTGCATCTGTCCCCAGTCCTCTGTCTTCTTTCCAAGCCATCCTCCCCCACAGGCCGGGGTGGACTGTGGCATTCTGTTCAGATTATCATCTTTTAAACAAGAATTCAGTTTCCTCTTGCTGAATCATGAGGCTTTGGGACAGTAAATCGTCCCTCGCTGTCATCCGAGAAGCCGCAGCCTACTCACTCTTTCGGCTGTCTCCCTTCAGTCACTCGGTCTTCTGGAAGTCAGAAAATCAGCCAGACAGAGCCTCCGGCTGCAACTGTGAAGGTATACTCTCGTTCCTCTTTTTGCCAGGATTTTTAAAGGATTCTGGTCAGTAGACACAGTCCTTCCATCCAACCAGATGCCACAATTTGCACTTAATACCTTTTTTGGCATGCACAGTGTTGTTCTTCAGAACTCGTTTGCATATGGCGTACTTGTCAATGTTATTTCTAGCTCATGACTGCTTTTGACCGGTTGTGACCAGCTCCCCTTCACATTGATTTAGCAGTTTAACTTCTCTTCTTTTAGAAAACTAAATCATCCTAACCCAATAAAAATACAGAAAACTCACATCTGATTGAAATACAAAGAATCCCATTATTGCTTTTAACTAAACAATCAGAATTATACCCTGATTACACAAAACTATCAATGCCTTAAAATCAAAACATGGATCTTTATATTTTGAATACAATACTTGACTAAACATTGATTAGACATTGATTAAACAGTAATTATCAATCAAATCTTTACTTTTGGGCTTGAGACCATCAGAACTCTGTCTCTGTCCCACACACACACACTTCCTCATTTGTATGGATGTGTGTCTTACTTCCCTTTTCTCCATGTCAGCATTTCCACTCTTTATGATTTTAGATTCTAAATGTACTTTAGACTTCTAAATGTACCTTTTTCAATACAATCCTGTCTCATTTTATTCTCATATATTCACTAATGATTATTTCAAACAAAACACACACACAGATTATCTTATGATTATCTTAACTTTTCTACTTTATGCATTCTGCCATAGAAGTTATTTCTGATGCCAGATCATCAGAGTGTCCAGTTCTGCTGTTATAGCCTGTGTTTCTTTTCTTGAAGTTCTTTCCGGGACCCGTTTTTACAGGTTTGCCGACAACTGTCTGTGATCACTGTAAATTAAAAAAAAAAAAAAAATCACTATGAAGCTTTAGCTAGGACAGTGATCTCTGAACATTTTTATTATAGTTATTCATCATTTTGGAGACCTTGTGAATATTTCTGAGTGAGAATGACTGTAATGCAGCTTTAAAGACTTGACCTTTATAAAACTGCATTAAATGCAGTTTAAAAGTAGTTTTTACATTTAATTTTAGGTTGTTTTAACAACACTTCGGTGACTGTTTAAATACACTACTTTCAATTTAACTTCAGTGCTTTTCTACCTGCAAATCACCAAACTCATTATTACCAGATCAGACTGAGGCAACAGTCAGAGGGTCTATACAGTAAATACATTTAAATGTCTTATCTATATGATCTCATCTTCTGATGCCACCTGCAGTTTGCATATGCAGTTTGCCAGCTGCATATTTATTCAGCTTTAATAAGTTAATGTAACAAACAATAGGATTTCAGTACTTAATCATCCATTAAAGAAATTCAAGTCTGCTAAACACATACAGTAAATGAGTGGAATGCTCTCTATTTGCCCAGTGCCATGGTGATTTGTAGTAGTTCAGCTTCATTGATGATACAGTAGCTTTCTGTAGTTGGCATGTACGCGCTTAACTCAGACTGAACATACTCAGATTTGTTTGAATCACTCCTGATCAGCTGTTCTGAAAGTGAAAACCCAAAGTTTTCTGTGTCCAGTTTGACCAACTCAGAGGTCAGGGTTAACTTCTGAGTTTGTTCAACCTGCTTTCTGAAATACTCCCCTGCTGTTGGCTTATCCCGATTTTTAACCTTCCCATGGAGAGGAGCAAAAGAAGGACTACTCTTAAGGGTTTATTAAAGTATAAACTTTTTATGAACCCACAGTCAAAGAGTTAAATAACTTGAACGCAGAGAATGATACAACTAATTTTGGCATCCATGAAAGATCTCTGGCTCTGCTTGGTGTTGTAGCTCATATGGATGACCTCAGTTAAAACTAAGATTGTTGATACGCTCAGTATTAAAACCCACCTCATGGTCTGCAAGTGCATTAACACTCACCCATGTGCTCTCCTACTCCATTTCTGCCTCAGGCAGGGATGGCATAAACATAGCCGTTACCATAGTGACAGCTCTGGAGCCAAGTACAGAGCTGAAACAAACTGTTTTTCTCAAAACCTACTCATCGAAAACAATGTAAATATTAGCTCGAAATGTGAATACTAGTCTTAGTTGAAAACATACTTTAGGTGATTTGAGATTTCTGCAGCAGGTGGTTATATCCTCCTGCTTTTCCACTGATACTAGCACACTTAGGAAAGCAGTAGAATAAGACAGGCAGCTCTGTGTTCACTGTCTCTCTAACATCATATGTACAAAATCTCCCCTGAAAACATAAATATATAAGGACTTTGCTGAGGTGTTGCTTCAACCTATTATAGTGTCCACAACAAACCAAATCTCATTCCATTCCTTTTCTCTGAATATTTACTGCTACTATTTAATATTTACAGTTACTGTTTGTAAGACAACTTATTATCTGCACATAAGCCATCAAACCGAACAGAGAGGAACCTAAAAGAATTCCAGGTAGTAGCTCATCAGGAAGCCAGTGGTGTAAACAGTGAATGTGTGTCCTGGGTAGCAGTGTCATCATTATTCAGGGCACAGTGTTCCTCCCAGCCATAATTCACATCTCACTCCTGAATCTAGTCTCACTTGCTGAACAGATGCAAACACACTCAGAGACAAAACTATAGATACACTGCATGAATAGCAAAAGAAAAAATGTTCAAGCAGATATTAGGAAAATGGATTCAGAGTGAGAGAGCCTTGCTGCTTCTGGCTGCATTGATTGAAGGTGTGCTTAAAAAAAAAAAAGTATGTTGTTTTCCATTTCTGGCACTGCATTGTGAATACTGCTCATCTTGCAGAGGAACAACCTCCATCAAGTATAGGATTAACTGTAGGCAGTGATTAATCAGAGGAAGATGAAATATCCATTACTGTCTTCTCATAATTTCCAGAGGTTATATATACCATTACCAGATTATTTCATCCAGAAGGACTCGATGTCATTCAGTGTGTACAGTTAAAGGAAATATTCATCAGCAGCCTGACCTTCTAAATCCATTCCCAAAAACACTAATGAAAACTTGCAATAAGCCCCCTTGTACTTTTTTCCTCACTACTTCCTTTGTCCTTTTATTCTCCTTCCATTAGAGCTCTGTGGTGTTGTATCAAAGGTGCACGACAGCGAATACTGTTGGACTCACATGGATAGCCCCAGGCCCTTCTCATTAAAGATCAGCAATTCATTTCATTTTTCTTCCAAGCCTATTTGTTTCAATTAAAGCCCACTAGTCACTGCCTGCAGGCACTTTGTTATATAGATAAGATCTTCAGAAAAAGTACAATTATAGAGCAGATTTTTAATTTTCTGTGCAAAGTTTAGGAAATGGAGTCTTCAATGATAATCTGTTTACACACCTCTCTCATACTCTTTCAACAGTTAATAGAGACTGTAGTTTTTTGCATCCTGCTCTACCTGTACAAGAGGAGGAATGTGAAGCATATCGTCGTCGTGATGCTGCTGGTGGCCTTACTTGGTATGAACAAGTGGAAGCTGCCTGAGATGTTATTGATTAAACCATTTTAGGTAGTCAGAGGTTGCTTTGTTGCCTGGCTACTAAAAATGGACCCATGCTCTGTTATGTTTGTAAAGAGCTGAGTAGAGCATGATGGAAAAAAACAATTCACTAGATCTCACAAGACGATTAATAACCTCCATAAATCAACATAAATCTTCTTCATCGCTACAAGTTGAACAATTAAACACTGATCTTTTTATTCTGTGTTGCCGCAGCCTCTCTGACAGTCATCTCAGTCAAAGCTGTGTCAGGGATGATAACAGAGACGATAAAAGGCCAGCTACAGCTCATCTACCCTATCTTTTACATCATGCTTGTCATCATGGTCGTGTCCTGCGCCTTCCAGATCAAGTTAGTCAAGGATTTCTCTCTCTATGTCTGCGTACCTTCTTTTTTTTCCCCTCTTTCAAACACTTTTATTATTGCTGAAATGCCTCATGTTTGCCACAAGCTACATTCTGTTTTGGCTTTCCAGTTCCTGAATAAATAAGAAAAATAACATATTGGGCATGGTAACGTTGTAGCCTACTTGCACCTGCAGGACTATGAAGGATGCTATAAATAGGCTGCTACGTAGTGCCACTGTAACCAAGGTTCTTATATACACTAGACCTGTCAGATCTTTTGTCTTTTCTCTCTGCAGATTTCTCAATCAGGCAATGAAAATGTTTGATGCCACAGAGGTGGTCCCCATCAACTTTGTGTTTTTCACTGCAAGTGCCATTGTTGCCGGTAAGTCAGTGACATCACTCTTTACTTGCATTCCGTTTCCATTTTAAAGGACAGAACAATCATCTGATCATTTGTTTGTTTGGTTCTTGTTAACAAAAAAACAAAACCAACAATGACTTGATCCAATACTGATATCTTCTGTGTAATCCGATTTAGCTGTTGTCCAAAGAAACAGGGTCGCTTTAGAAGTGTGGTTCCTTCTGCCATTGCAGCTCTGAACAGACTATATTTTTGATGCTGTTGTGCACATCTGCACTCATCTGGGTGTGTATATAATACTTTGGGTCTAGGATAGGGCCACGAGTTTTCATTGTCTATGTTGTGTGAATATATGCATGTTACTGTGTTGAGTCCAGGCTGTGAAAACCAAAATTACATTAGACCACACATTTGTTCCAGGTGACTTTTTCCTGTGATCATTGCAATGGTAATTTATTTGGATAACAAACTGTGGCAATAGCAGGCTATGATGTGTATTTCACCATTGGAGGTTAAATTATTTTGTGCTTTGATGAAGGTGACAGTAACTACCCACAGATGCTAACATGCTAATGTTTAGGTATATTTGCTATGTGCACCATCTTTAGCATCTCACTAACATGCTAATTTTCAGTAAACACTAATCACAGCTGTGGATGCTGGGAATGTCTTAAGTTTTGCAGGTATAGAATGTAGTCATAAAACAGTGTAGGCCTGTTGTATGTTGTTAATTAAGATATTTAGTCTGGGCCCAAGTGATTCAGCAGGTCGACAATACCAGGCCTAGAGCCATGCTGCTGCATGACTAAAAATGTTTTCTTGAGAGAATTATGGTTTCATTATGGTACCAATTAATTACAGGAAAATACAGACAGTGTTCAGTTGGTAAGCATAATTAAATCCAGTGACCAAGAGTCTTTTAGTCAGGTCACCTGAACATCCAAAAATGTCAAAATTATCTAGAGGAAAGCATGCTGTTCAACTTATGAGTAGAATAATTTAATAGGTGAAAATGAAAGAAAATTTGTCTGGGTTTAAAATGATTTTGTCTTTCAAGGACATTCATTTTGTCTCTAAAATTACTATCAAACATTGTTTTTTCCCTGAAATGTCTTCACGTTCAAAGTGTTTATTTGTCATATGCACAGTTAGGAAACATGTTTCCCTGTACAATGAAATTCTTACTTTGCCGTCCACATGAGTGCCACAAAATACAAATGAAATATAAAGTAGATAAATAAGTAACACAAAATCTAAGGCACTTTAAGCAACAAATGCAGCAATATAATAGTAAAAAAAAAAATATAACAGAATGTATGCTGCATGGGAGCAGCATGTGCAGTAGTCAACAGTCAATGTGCAATTATCCATGTGCAAACTGAGAATGTAAACAGTACAACACGTATTTCCTGGTAATAAACTCCTCAGCCTATATTTAGGAGTCTGAAGGCAGAGGGAAGGAAAGAGTTTTTCAGTCTAGAGGTCCTGCACTTCACACTTCTGAACCTACGGCAGGAGGGCAAAGAAGTGAACAGTCCGTGCTGGGGATGGGTGGGATCTTTGAGGATGGAGGCAGCTTTCCTACGCACCCTGCGGTGGTAAATGCTCTGCAGAGAGGGCAGTGGAGTCCTGGTGATCTTCTCCACAGTCTTTACCACTCTCTGC